GAATATGAATTATAATCGAACAAGGACTAGGAAAAATTAAATCAATAAGACTACATGAAAAAACAGTTCTGTGGTTGTGTGTAACAAGTGAAAATATGTATTTGTAAAGGCATCACTTCAAGTATGCCTGTGATGTTTGTTGAGTTCAGGGAGGTATAAGACAAGGCAGAATGTCTCTTCTGGTGTTAAGATTCCTAAGTTCCTGAGTTGCAAAGAAGGTGGTATCCAGAGACTGCAGCACTCTACAGCATCACTGGTTTCCATGAAAACCTCATCTATGGAATTAAAATTAATTTTATGAAAAGGAAATAAGCAGTCTTTTCATTCGTGTGTTTTTGGTCTGAGCATGGAGTGAAGTAACTGGAGCAGCTGTTCTGCACTGTTGTTCTTTTTTTAAGTATTTATGAGTTTTATTTTATGTGTATGAGTGTATTGCCTACAAGTATGTAAAGGCACCCAGAAGACAGTGTTGAATTCCCCGGGAACTGGAGTTAAGGACAGTTGTTACCTGCCATGTGGGTGCTGAGAACCAAACCCAGGTCCTCTGCAAGAATTTAAAAGTGTGCCTCCAACCGCTGAGCCATCTCTCCAGCCCCCTGCACTGTTGTTCTTAACTTGAAATCTGATGAGTCTCTTGTTCCTTTGCTGCTGGAAACAAAATCTAGCTGAGCATTTTCTAACTTTCCTATGGCAGTTGGCCGTTGCTCTTGCTTCCCAAAGATTCTAGGAAAGGAAGGCACTATTTCAAGGAAGTCTTTCTTGCAAATGAATCCAATAAAAAGAATCCCTCACTAGAAGCCAATAAAGGTGTTCTCTTAATGAGCAGAGGAGATAAAGGCCTCCCTGGAGACCAAACTGGGAAAATGTGATGGCTGAATTCAGACTTCTTTCCTAAGCTGAAGGGATGCTCAACTTAAATTTGCTTCCTAGCAAAAGATCTGGAAAAGAAGCACACCATGGCTGTCTCCCCAGACTGAGAGCCACACATCTACTGGGACATTTTCAAGGTTCTTTATTAATGAATTCACATACACGAGGGGATAGAAATAAGAATATAAGCCCCAAAGACCTCTGACTTCAGGGAGAATAACTCATCCAAGGCCCCAGCTGTAGAACTCAAAGCTACGAACCTGTGATAAGGAGGCCACACTTCCCGTGGTTGCTCCTGGCCAGTGACAGCCAGACAGGATGTGCTGAGGCAGGTCATCCCCTGCACACAGAGTTCCAGCAGCACCCACATTTGGGTCAGCTTTTCCAGTGCATCTTTAGGCTACAGTCAAGGACGCATTGGCCCACTTGTTCACTGAATCCTTTACTTGTAGTTATATTCTCTTAATAAAAGCCATGTGTATTTTATCTAATTTTGGCATCTATTTCTTAAAGGGGCATATACAGGTATATGAATAAACGTGAATATTCATATACATTTATATACATATACACATATCTATATATATGCCTATGTATATAGGTTTGTGTGTAGTTGAACCATAATTTATCTCCATTTGATGGACATTAACTATGTCAAAATTTTTGCCATTATAAAAATAGCCACCCATCCCATTTTTGCAAGTATTTTGCTATTAGCTGTGCCACAGGAAATGTTCCCTTTCAGAGGAGCTTCAAGGATTCAGAACAGTACTGCCCTGAAGGCTTTTGTCCTGCACATATAAAGTTTCTGGTAACGTTTGAATTTTTCCAGCAAATGAGCTCAGCCTTCGTGGTTAGGTATGAAGAATAAAGAAGCGAGGAACTGGCCTCCACTGCAGAAGGGGGGTCCGGGGTGAAATCACTCCCCTCCTTCCTTCCAGCATCACTCTGGACTTGGCATGCTCTCACCTGCATCAATTAGAGTTTCTGTGTGCAACAGTAGATTACTGATCACTTCTACAAGAGAGGCTTCAGGGAAAATGTAAAGGGCTCACAATCAGTTAAAGACCTAAGAGTCAGTCTCTGAAAATCTCCAGGACAGGCCTGTAGGAATGCTAGCCAGAACTGTTCACATAGAGAGAATCCTAGAAAGTGAACTCAGGGGTAAATAGGAGCCCAATGTTCCCTGTCCTTGCATCACTTTCCCAAGAGTCAAGTTCTAGGAGAAAAACCATCACAGAGGCTGAGGAAGCCTGCATTGTCTTGACAAAGGCAACACCCAGAATTTCACTCCCACCAACACAGAATCCAGTGGACAGGAAGAAGGCCCCCAGATATGCTGGAAGAATTAGAAAAGAGAAAAAGTTGTGCTGGGCCACAAAATGATCTAGTAGATATAATAATAAACGCCCAGCACACACCCTTTTATGCACATCCCTGATTCTGGAGTTTGTAGGTAGCCAGACAGGCTCAGCTATTGGGTGGTAAAGTAGTAAATGCCTAAGTGAAAAGAAATTTCCTGATTAGGACAGAGTCTGGCCAGGGCCTGGAGCCTACATGGACTAACTCAGTTCCTAAATTCATTTCCGTCTGAGAGCGTGCGATTCTGCCTGTCTGTTCAGAAATAAAATGTCAGGGCAAGGAACGTTGGGCCGCCCTTCAGCCGCCTTGCTAGGCCTCTCACTGCCTTCTGGAGTCCTGCAGTGGGCTTGCCAGCTCCTCAGTAGGCGGCTTCGTGTTTGTTTATTGTGTGTTTGATTCTCAAATGTAATAATGCAGCACTGGGACAAATGGGAAGGTCCTTCAGAAATATGAGCTGTGCGGTTTTCACCCTCGACTGTCCCTCCATCCCCATCGGCCTCCTTTTCACAACAGCGATGCTCTTTTGCCTTTTGTTTCACTTAATGATCCCTGCCACGTTATCTTCCTCAAGAACACTTTTCTCCATCTGACTTGTATTGTAAGGGAATTTGCTTTGAGCTGTTGATAGCCACTAAGCAAAGCAGGCACCTGCAGGGGCGGGGGCAGACTCTCGCATTCATTACCTTCAAAGTGTTCTTTCCTCTATTTTTAGCAAAAACTTTATGATGCAAGCTGAGCATGCCCAGAGGCATCCTGTCCACCATTTTAATCTCTTAAACTTAAGCTCCACAACCTTGAGTTAAGCATGCCCAAAAATGTGTCTACTATATTCTTTTTTTTATTTATTTAATAACCACATAATTAGAAGAGGCATTTCATTACAACAGCATTGACATATTCAATAACAATTTCCAGAGCTAAGATGCATCTCTTTCAAAATTGGC